AACAGACATTAGACATCCTGGGAAATTCTGTCTGGGAATGGACACACTGGCAGCATCTCTGGCAGGGGCACTAGCTCAGTAGGCAAGCTCACAACCCTCTTCCTGGGCAGCCCTGATGAGCCCAGAGCTAATCTCACTGGTCACAGGCATTCTGTAACTGTCTCAAGGTGCACAGCAGAGACGCACCAGCTGGCTTTCATTCATAGAGAGCAGTTTGTCTTTTTTCTCAAAGTGGTACAAGGCAGGCTGTAGCCTGGTAGTTGAGATCCTGGTTGGAACACCCATGTCCCATATCAGAGCCCCTGGATTTGATCCTCACTTCTAGTTTCTAACTTGAGCGTCTTGCTGATGTAGACCAGAGAAGGCTGCAGGTGATGGCTCCAGTAATTGGGTGATGACTGAAGTGAGTTCCTGGCCAGCCCAGCAGGCATTTGAGCAGTGAACCATTGGACAGGGAACACTTTGTCTCTCTGCCTCTTATAAAGAATTTAAAAAAGCATTTTAGTAGTGGTCAACTTTGAAGTTTTAGAGCCCCTATAAAAAAGAGCATTCAAAGAGCTCGTCGTGGACATCTGATTCTTATATTCCTCATCCTCTGTGTTTTTGGAAAGTATCACTGGCACATGTTTTGTATATAGTCTTGGCCCCAAGGAATTCAGTGAATTTGGAAACAAAGAACAAAAAATAAATCAGGAAGAATTGTGTGACAACTGGAGACTGGGAATATTATTCAATTATTAAGAAGAAGGAAATTCTGATACTTGCAACAAAATGGATACACTTTAAAGACATTGCTGGGCATAAGTCCCCAGATATAAAATGGCAAGTATAGCTTGATCCATTTTTGTGAGGTCCCTATCCTGGCCACATCCATAGAAACAGGAAGCAGGATGGGGAATGCCAAGCCAGTGTAGGAGACAGGCCAGGGTGAGGAGCTAGTAGTGTTCAGTAGGCACATCGGAGGTCAGTCTGAAAGGTAGAGAGGCATTCTGGAGATGGCTAGCAGCGATGGCTATACAAAATGCATGTGCCATTGGCTTGCACATTTAAAATGGTCAAAATGGTTCATTTTATGTATTTTAGCACAATTTTTAAAATCCACTGCATTATAAAACTAAGAATCATGAGACAACGAAGGAAATTTGAACACTAACCAGATATGAAATGATTAAAACAGAAAATTATTCATTTTTAGAATATCCTGTTAACAGTACAAATTGAAAGTTAAATAACTGAAAATTATTTAAAGATGAAATTTTATGTGATGTGCTTTGGAATAATCTGATGATGAGTAGCAAAGGAATATGTATAAAACAATGTTTGCTGCTAGCTGATTAAACACAATGTGAGGATGGGGTAGGTGCTGCAGGTTAAGCTACTCCTTGGGATGTTGGCATTCTGTAGCTGAATGCCTAGTATCAGTCCAGCCTCTGTCTCTGATCCAGCTCTCAGCAAACACACACCCAGGAAGGCAGCGGACTTGGGTCCCCGTCACACCTGGGGGAGACCTAAGTGGAGTTCTGGGCTCTTGTACTGGACTGGTTCAGCCTCAGCTTTTGCATGCATTTAAAGATTTGGGTAGTGAACCAAGTGAATGAAAAATGTTTCTGTTTCTACCCTTCTCTCTCTTTTGTTCTGCTTTTCGAATAAATAAAAATAAACATTGCTTAAATGTAAAAATAGAGGAGAAACAAGACATATTAAACTTACATAAATGAAACTAAAATAATCACTGGAGATTATTTTAACTAAAACACATTCTGTTATTATAGTATTTCCTATAGTTAATTAAGTTATCTTGTTAAAGTTGAGAGTGACCTTAAGTATATACTCTCTAAGCTGTATACTTCTTGAAACCAAAATCTGGTTATTTTTTTAATCTAGAAGATAATGGCCACTAATATCTGAGGAGAAAATCTCTTAGAGACATGGCACAGAGGGTTTCCAACATGCTTGCATCCAATTTGCCATGGCAGGACCCGTTTTCACTATGCAAGGGATGAGCATTGATGAAATGAATGAATGACAAATCACCTAAAGAACACAGATTTTTGTTTAGGCAGCAAATTACTTTGTGACTTAGTGGACACAGATGGAGGAACAAGTTTCTGAAATAGCACTCAGTAACTGAGTCACCTGCTATCACAATAAGCCAATTTCTCACCTGAGAGACTTTTAAATGCAGGAACAGTGAACATCTTGAAATGAACTGTTAGAAGTAGATGATAGAGCCAAATGGTTTTGTTGAGTCAGCTCCTCAAGACTAAATAGCCCAAATTCTCCTCTTAACCAGGCGTTGACATGTCGCTCACTTATGGATCTTAAGGAAATTTGCTGATTTTTTTTCATTTGTTTTCCTAAAAGCAAAATGGGGTAATAGCAACTGTTTCATAGGGTAAAGTAGAAATGATTGTTTAATGTGCTTTGAATATGAGGAATACATGTAGTTACATTTCATGAGAATTCCAAAGTGAAATTTTACTTTTATTTTTTCAAATAGGACTAAAAATGCTATGAGCCAAAACTCAGTATGCCAGAGGATCACACAATCCCATTTCCCCCTAGCAACTAGCTCTTCACATGGGTACAGTGGTTCTCAACTTTGGTTGCATTTTGGAATCACCTGGAAAGTTCACAAATAATATCCTGGATCTGACCCTAAGAGACACCTGTTTGTTTCAGCTAGTAGTATTGTTACTTTTAAGAGAAGCTTTTAAAATACAACCAAAGTTATGATCTTCATAAAGAAGGCCCAGTTCATGGATTTCTGGATGTTCCAATACAAAACATGAGAATGGTGTACAAGAAGTAGGCAAGACCAGAAGGCACTATGCATATTATGGTTTCCAATTTTTTTTTTTTTTGTGATTCTAGGTATTTTATGCTGCTATCTCAATACTGACAATAGGATTATTTTATAGTACTCTATACGCTGGGTTGTTTCTCAGAGGGACCTAGGTTTTTAGACTTTAAGACTCTTTAGTTAAATTGATCTAAAACAAAAGAAATGTCCAATGACTGAGATAAAGCATGACATTACTCATTGAAAGATAGCCAGTGATAAAAATATTAGCTGTGATTGCTCGTCACAAAACTTTGATGGGGTTGATGTGGCGTAGTATGTAAACTTCTGCCTGTGGAGCCAGAATCCCATATTGGCACCAGCTGCTCCTCTCTGGATCAAGCTCTTTGCTAATGTTCTTGGGAAAGCAGCAGAGAATGACCCAAATCCTTGGGTCCCTGCAGCCTTGTGGGAGACCTGGAAGAAGTTCTAGGCTCTGGCTTAATCCCTGCCCAGTTTAGGTCATTGTGGCCATTTAAGAAATGAACCAGTGGATGGTCGATCTCTTTCTCTGTCTCTCCTTCTCTATCACTTCACCTTTCAAATAAAAATAAGTAAGTCTTAAAGAAAAAAAAAACAAACTTTGACATGGCTTGAGCCATATAGGACCAAAGTGGTTATGTGTGTGACTTGAACTGCCTAAAAAATATTTAATTTTGGACTCGCATGCTTTGTAATTATTACTCACTTGCTACGAGAGAATTTAGTTTCTTATGTTTGAAGATTCTGATACCTACAGTCTCAGGTAACAGAGATCTCTGTTGCAACACTTGGCATTGCATTCAGCACTTCTGCTCCCTCACACCTGGTATTGATGTGATGTGCTTGGTGAATTGTAAAAGGGAGCATAAGAAAACACAGAAAAATAGACATGAGTGAGGAAAGAAATACTGAAAAGCAAATATGTACTTTTAAAATCAGCAAGCAGGGCTGGAACTGTGGCATAGCTAGTTAAGATGCTGCCTAGGGTGCCATCATCTGATATAGGTGCCAGTTCAGGTATCAGCTGCTTCACTTCCTATCCATCACCCCACTAAGGCATCCTGGAAAGCAGCGGAAGATGATTCAAATCCTTGGGCCCCTGTATCCACATGCAAGACCTGGAAGAAGCTCCTGGCTTCAGAACAATCTAACTACAGCTGTTACAATCATTTGTGTGGTGATCCAAATGAGGGAAGATTCTCTCTCCTGCGTGTGTGTGTGTGTGTTTTTACCTTTCAAACTGGTAATAAATAAGCAAGAGAAACTCTTATGCACTCAGCATCCTAGGTCCCTTGGGCCAGAAATTCGGCCACTCTTCACTCTGCATTGTGTTCAGTGCTTCCAGAACCTGACTCTTGCAAGGCCCTCCCTCGCTTCCCTGGCTGCAGGTCTTGAGTTCTTGTCACTTGGTTAGTTAAACTCTGCAAGAACTGTTTCCCCACTACTTTGCTCCAGGCTCTTGGGCTTGCATTTGGTGTAGGCTTTCAGAAGCACTGAGAGCTGTGTCATCATTCAGCACCCTATTTGAACACACCCTTAATGCCTTGTGTTTAGTCTGGCTCATTGGGTGTTGCCCATAAAAACAGTGTGGTTTGTGTAATCACAATGAGCACAGAGCTGTGTGACTAATCGGTCAGCTCCATGCATCTCTCTTATCTTCTCTGAAGTGAGTCAGTGACTTCTGAGAATCGCATGTCACTCCCTAGTCTGATGCTCACATCTGTATTTGTTCCAGACTTTTTTTTTTTTACAAGTCTCTTTGCTTTCTATCTATATACATATTCCAAATTCCCTCTCAAGAGCGGAACTAACTACACAGGAATTTGGAGAAATCCCAATAATGCTAGCCCACTGTGTAGAATTCCCAGGACAGGAAGGTCATTTGTTCTTTTCTTGGAGCGAATCATACCAATAGTTTCACTGGACTAGTTCAGATCAACACACACATATTGAGTATCTACGAGTACCAGGTTCTTTAGGTATTATTTTACAACCACAGTTTATTTTAGGAGAGACTAAGATTTACAGGGGGGAAAAAGTGAAGACAGTACAGGGAATTCCTGTATACCCCATATTCAATTTCTCCTATTATTAATATTTTACATTAGGCTTAGGCATTTGTTCTGATTTATGTAATGATTTGATACTGACTCTCTATGACTAAGTTGTACTTGGTTTCTATTTCCATAGTCTGTTGTCCTTTTTACATCATCCTTGTGCAGGGACCGTGCTAATCTTCTCTGTATCATTCCAATTTTAGTATATGTGCTTCTGAAGTGAGCACTCCCTATTGTCCTTTTTATGCCTGGATCCCACCCCATATACATTTAGATGCCACTTCACTCCAGGCTCCTCTTCATTGTGACAGATTCTTAGACTTGCTTTATTTTGAGTGGACTTAATGTTTTTGAGGAGTCCTATGTTTTGTAGGATGTGCATCAGTGGGATTTGTTGCACGTTTCTCTCACCAGATGGATGGAAGATGACCATAGGACAGAAAGTCCCTTTCATCATGTCATGTCAACATGAAACTGCTTGGCCTTGACCTTACTCAGCTAGCTGTAACAGTGTTGATAACTATAGTGACCATTACCACCACCACTCATTGTTTACTCTTGGAAGGAAGTCACTACACACAGCCCATGCTGAAAACTACGTGGCCACCACCTTGAGGAAGAATGCTTACATAAATTCTTGGAGTTATTTATCAGTGGATATATTGGAAGTACTTTTTTTTTCTTGCTCAAAAATTTCCAGCTGTGGTTCCCTGGAAACTTTTTCAGTTGACTCCTTTTGCCTTATGACAAACTCCTTACATGTGGGTTTTTTGGCTTTACATTTCCTTTTCAGAATTTCTTTAATTTCTGCCTTAGTAAGATGCTCTAGCCTCATCTTGTATATTTCCTTCCCTGATCCAAGAATAACCCCATTTCTCCAAAGAACTCTGGTTACTTCTATTGGGTAATAGCATTAGAAACCAATATCTACATGCCAGGCATTGTAGGTGCTGCAGGAGTCACTTTGGTTTTCAGCTGAAAGAGGAAATACACATGCACGTGCCAGCCCAAGCTTTTACAGAGATCCACAGATACGTTTGTATCTTCCGCTGCTATCTACATTAGGCTAGACATCCATCTAATTTCCCTCCTTTGCTCTGACAGTAAGAAACCCAGTTTCCATGTTCCATCATCCATTTAACTCAAATTTTCTTTTCCCTTCTACCTGTACAGCAGGATTAGACTTGGTGTTAACCTGTCAGAGTCTGGAAAACATAATTCTGCATGGTCACGTGCCTGTGTTGTTCAACAGTTCTGTTCATAAGGAAGAAAGAGAGCTAAGAGAAAACATTACTCCTCACGCTGAGTGCACTGCGTTGCAAGAGTGGGGGGAGGGTGAGGGGGAGAGGAAAACAGTGGTTTCATTAGCTGACTTTCTATGAAAAGGTCAGTGTTTTCTCTTTGAAGTTGCAACTGTTTGTTGAACACGATGCCTTGTCCTTCCCTGCCACTGTACCACCTACCTCTTTCCTCAGTCTCCATGGTTGCCAACCATCATGAACAGGATTTGCAAGGAAATGTAACTGGGTTTATTATAGAGTGAAAGAATAGGCAACTCTGAGACGCTGGCTGGCACCAAGGATCAGCAAATGCCAGCTATGGCTGATCCAAGATAGGAAGACGGCTAGGGGGAAAGAACCATGGTTAATGGCATGACTTTTACAATTGACTGTTAAAGATGCCCCATCCACTCTTTTGACTAAACTGTGCCTCTTTATTGCTTTATTGGCTAGCCAATAGTCAGTAATGATATTTTTATCCAGTGACATTGGCAATTCTTAAAAACAACCACAGGACCACTTTCCAAATCTGATTCAGTGTCTAGGAAGGTTCATGTCACTATGTGGGAAAGAAAAAGAACCCTAAATAGTAAATTCTAAAAATGTCCCAAATATAGAAAAATATGGAGAATTTAAGATTCCTGAAATAAAACAATGTCATATAGAAGAAAGGGGGAGGAAGCTGAATCCTAACTTTGCTGTTGAACAGCTGTGCAGCCTTAGGACAATTATTTGATGTTGCTTAATTAAAATTGATATTAAAATATTAAATTATTAGGGCTGGCATAGTGGCATAGCAGGCTAATTCTCTACCCTGTGGTCCTGGCATTTTGTATGGACACTAGTTCATGTCCCGGCTACTCCACTTCTGATCCAGCTCCCTGCTTATGATCTGGGAAATCAGCAGAGGATAACGCAAGTACTTGGGCCCCTGCACCCAGGTGGGAGACCCAGAAGAAGTTGCTGGTTCCAAGCTTTGGCCATAGCAGTCATCTGATTAGTGAACCAGCAGATAGAAGATCTTTCTCTGTCTCCCCCTCTGCTCTGTAATTCTCACTTTCAAGTAAAATAAATAAATCTTTAAAAAATGTTACATTATTAAATATACTATATAGAAACAATATTTAAATGACACCATTCATTAATAAGGAAATGATACATGACAATTCTCACAGAGTTTGATATCACAAAGAGTGAGCCTTACATTGTGCAGACTTCTAGGTCATTCAGCAGGTTAAGAATGCAGAATGCAAAAGCAATAGTCCATGTTACTGAACTACAAAGCACCTCCCTGATGGGGGCGGGGCGGAGTGGGAGGTGTTAGCATGTGTAGCTCTGGAAATGAGCAGGGTCAAGACAGGAGACTGTTCCCAGGCCCTGTGCTGTTGTTGAACCAATAATGGAGCTCCAGCAAATGTCTGGGTAGGGGATCTGGCACTTTTCACTTCCCTCCTGTTGGGGTGATGAGCCCAGAATGTCTGGGACAGAACACAGAGGATTAAAGACTAGGCTGAGTATAAGGACAATTGTGTAGAAGTCTTTCTTTTCGTGATTGTGGGGAAACCATACCAGTTGAATTCCATCTTGTCTAACCCATACTTGTTTGTTTTATCCTTCACTTATGAATCTACTCCTACCCAATAAGGATTTTACTTTTATCTCCCTGTCCCTTCCCACCAATGCCTGTCTCTCCACCAACTCTTGAATTATGAGAGAGAGAGAGAGAGAGAAAGAGAGAGAGAGAGAGAGAGAGAGAGAGGTAACTGTTCATGATAACTCTCCTTTTGAGATTAATTTAAGTTTATTTTTTGAGAGGCAGAGAGTGAGAGTAAGGGAAGGCCCCCATTTGCTGGTTCACTCTCCCAAATTACTCACAATGACAGGGAGCTCAGTTCAGATCTCCCACATGGGTGGCAGGGACCCCATCACTTTAGCCATCACTGCCACATGACACAAAGCTGGAATCTGGAGCAAGAGCTGGGCATTGAATCCTGGAGCTTCAAGGTGGGATGTGGGCAGCTTCCCTGCTGTCCTCAACACTCACCTCTAATATTTTCTCAGACACTCAGTTCTAGCTGATGGAAGTTGTGTGTGAAATGGACTCCAGATCTCAAAAGGATCTTGCTTTTGCATCAAATAATGAGTGGCAGTGCATGCCATGATTTATATTGGTGCCTTGTCTTTATCATTCTTAATATGAGCCAAGCAATAGTATAAATTTAGTTTTTGTTTCCTTGACAAGAAGATTACCCAGACTGAAGCTTTGGAAGAAATGCCAAAAACTAGAATCCATGGACATGTAAAGCAGCACAAGTTATTTTGTTTTCAGCGGTGGTAAGCTTTCAACCTAACATAGTAAACAGTCAGAAAATAACTGGGCTGGTGTTGTAGCACACTAGGTTAAGCCATCACTTGGAATGCCAGCATCCCCATATTAGGGTACCAGTTCAAGTCCTCCTTGCTCATCCTCCATCCAACTTCCTGTTAATGAACCTGGAAGGCAGTAGATGATGAGTCAAGTACTTGAGCTCCTGTCACCCTTTTGGGAGGAGACCAGAATGGAGTTTCTTGCCCTGGTTTCAACCTGGCACAGCTCTGGCTTGTAGTGGCCACTTGGTGGCAGGAGGGTGAATGAGAGGTTAGTAAATCTCTCTGACACTCTATCTTTCAAATAAATAAATAAATCTCTCAAAAAGAAAAGTGGTTATTCACAAATGACAAATTGTTTTCAAGTATTTCCCTAAAATTAATCTTTCATTTCTCTGTCTCTCTCCCCTTCCCTTCCATCTAGTTCCATCTATGTCTGTGTCTCTTCTCACCCTCCCATCCCCACCCCTCCAATCATAGACTTTTCATGTTATACTGGATTTGGGAATTAGGATTTCTATACCTAGAAAGAGCAGCAAGGAAGCCAGTAGTTGGCAGTTGCTAGGTGTGCACTGCAGAATGGTTGCCTAGAAATCATCCCATATGGTCTCTTCAGTTGGAAGCTGGCTCAAACTACCGGGTGACTGGCTAAACATCTCCGCTAAACATCTCGTTTGTATAGCTTTCTACTTTTACCTTTTGGGATTACATGGGCTGATGTTCATCTGACCACCCGTTTTGTCAGTCTTAGGTCACCCTCCAACAAGGTGAATGTACAGTTTGCTGTTTTTGTAGAAAACCACTTTTTTTTTTAACCTATGAAAAACAAATCTGACAGCATTTGGAGCCAAAACAAAATGTCTCTGAAATTTCTAGGTAATAGAAACAGTATAAACTTCACCCCACCCCCGCCCCGGAAGACAAAAACAAAGTGCTCTTTTTGTTTCAAAGATTTATTTGTATATTTGAAAGGCAGGATTACATAGAGTCAGGGGTGGGGGAAGAGAAAGAGAAAGAGAAAGATATCTTTTATCAGCTGGTTTATTCCCTAGATGGCTGCAAAGGCCAGGATTAGCCCAGGCCAAAGCCAGAAACCAGGAAGTTGATCCATGTGTCCCATGTGGATGGCAGGACCCAAGTATTTGGGACATCTTCTACTACCCTCTCAGATGCACTAACAGAGAACATTCTCCTGTGGAATGCTGGCACTGCTAGCAGTGATTTAAACTGTAGTGCCACAATGCCAGTCCCCACAGCCCTCTTTCAGTGAAGAAATTGATAGTGCATTTGAAACTGAAGAATACATTTGAAAGGTTTAAGGCAGAGTGAGATAAAACCTGTGTAGTACTAGCCTAAGAGTGTAATCCCACCCTAAAGACTACTGTACTCTAATTGTGCACCAGCTGACCTCTTTAAGGTTACTTCCAGGAGACTGAGACACGTGTGCATCTGGAGAGACAGGCAGGATGTACAGCAATGGTGGCAAACCTGATATTCATGTCCAACTATGCTTTAAATTCTTTTATTTGAAGCCTCTCTTTTTGTTTACATCTATTGTCACTCTGTTTAAAACCTAAACA